AACCGGTAAAGTTCTTGTAAATAAATATTCTTAAAGACCCCAGCTGCATTCTCAACTTCTTTTTCCTATATATTTTTTACCCGCGTGTGATATATAAAATAAAACACACTTTCTCATATATATATATATATATATATATATATATATATATGAACATTTTTATGTTTATACATTCTTTTTATAGATAGAATATTTAAGTAAATGGTCTGTTTGTAATAAACAGTATAAATAACCGGCCTGAATGTCAGAGAAATTTTCATAGAAAATATTCGTCCTCCGACAGGAATCGAACCTGTATCCTATACGGAACTGTCATGTAGCCTGACGTCTCTTAACCGATTGAGGATCATACTGTGTGACGTCTTTTGATTACATTTGGATACGCTTTGAGCAGAAACGAATGTACGTGCGAGATTCATGGAAGATTGTACTTTAAAAGCAATAAAATCGACCTTGCTAATCGAGCGATCCCCTGTGGCTCAATCGGTTAAGGCACGTCAGACTAAATGACGGTTACTGTCGGAGGACGAATATTTTCTATGAAAATTTATCGGACATTCAGACCGGTTATTATTATTATTAATAATAATAATAATAACTGTTTATTATAAACAGAGAATTTACTTAAATATTTGTATCTCTAAAAAGAGTGTATAAACATAAAAATGTCTTAAAAATAATTGTCGGACCTTGTACATTAATATGTATATATATATAATATTGAAAACAGTATCCTTAAAAATCCATCTGGTCTTTAGTGTAATGAGAAACTGGTCTGAAGAGATGGACGTAAGGTCCATAAAATAAATTTATGACCAGATGGATTTTTAAGGATTCTGTATGCAATATTATATTGCTCTGTTCTTGCACTGAGCTCGCTTGAAATTATACCTACTAATCATAAATTGGTATTATATATATATATATATATGGGAAAGGATCAATGAATTCATACTCTGGCAGGCTTATTTTGACTTCAATCTTTGATCGACTTGATTAATATTTTGTACTCAAGTACATTGACAAGATGAGGGATAATACTGAAAATTAAATATTTGTTGTGATAATATACGTCAATATAGCGACTTTTCAATTGTAGCTTAGATATGGCACAAGGCGGAAAGTACGGGGTATCCAGTGAGGATCGAACTCACTACTTAGTTGAAATGGCTCGAAACAAGCTTGCTAATGATTACACTACTTCGAAGTGCCCTATAATTTGTCAATATATGTGCTTGTATATGTGAATATGAGTCCGTGTATCTGTATGTGTTCACGAGTGTATATCACTGTACTTTTCATGAAATTATTACTTCCTCTGTATGTGAATATGTATGTATTGTGTATTTAGGCAGCAATCCTTCTTTCATCAAATATTTTATATAATTTCTCATGTAATCTTTTTTTTTTCTTTTCAATAGATAAATTATACAAAATCTGACCAAATGTTTTCCGAGCGTTTTCGGCTATACATTTAGCCATTTTCAAGGTTGAATTATATTAACTGTTAACAAGAAATAGTTTGTTGTATGTATGCATTTATATAAAGTTTCATTTTCAAAACACGGTCAATATACTATGTCCATGTTCATAGTTTATATTATTGAGTGTTGTTTTTTGTTTTTATTAACAAGGCTTCCATTATTTTTAGACTTTTTACATGTAGACGATGCTATTATATTTTTATTACTAGCAAGTATAAAGATGAATAGGACCTAACATAAAAAAGGCTAAAAATAATGGAATTATATATATATATATATATATATATATATATATATATATATATATATATATATATTGCATTATTCTTAGCCTTTATTTGTTTTAGGTCCTATTCATAATACATATATATATATATATATATATATATATATATATATATGATTGACTATCCTTTGATTTTTAGGTATGATGTTCCGACAACACATACACATACACACATATTATATATATATATATATATATATATATATATATATATATATATATATATATATACATACACATATATGCCGAACCCTTCACCCCATCGTGTTCGATGTACGAGGGTCAAGCAACTCAGTTTCTAGGAACCAACAGCCAAACACCTGCACATATGCTTTGATTATAGTGGTGAAAACTTTGTAAAGAGACGACCACACTTTTTGAATATATATATATATATATATATATATATATATATATATATATATATATATATAAAATATATATATAGAGAAAAGCATTTACTTTTCAAAAAGTGCTCGACACAAAGTCGAGTAACTGAAAGATAATTAGTTATTTACCATCGCCTGAAGAAGTACAATCAATGTATTGAAACGTAAAAAGTTTTTGTGTCACGATTTCAATATGTTTTTTTATGATCTCTTATAAGAAAATAATACACACACACACACACATATATATATATATATATATATATATATATATATATATATATATATATATATATATATATATTTTAAATAACAATAGACCACTTTAAGGTTCCATGTAATAAATTATTTCACCACAGCCCTTTTAAAATGACTGCGGATCATCAGACTTTACTTCCAAACAAAAAATGAAAAGAAAATTTACACATTTTTGACGGGCCGTATTAAACATATGTAAATTAACGAAGTGAGGAAGTGAGGGGGGAGATATAGAAGATATGAGTGAGTTAGCAGATATAGACACATTTAAACGGTTAACTTAACGGAAGTTATATATTGATATCGAAGGGGTAGAGAAGAAAAAACCCATAGAGAGAAAAAGAGAGAAGGAAGTTATGAGAGAAGATGTCACTAATTTTCATTGTAAAAAAAAGGCTAGAAACAGACGCTGTTATTTTGTTTTACATTGAAAGTGTCATTTTGGGGGTTCATAAAGATTATAATGTTTGATATAAATTTGAATGTCTCTAAACTTCTTAGGTTTACCCATACGGATTACCTAGTTTTTCATAAACTATCTCTCTCTCTCTCTATATATATATATATATATATATATAGATAGATAGATAGATAGATAGATAGATAGATAGATAGATAGATAGTCTCTGGGAATAGCAATTTTACATTTAGAGAAGTTCGATTATAACCAACAATATTTCCTTCCTAATTATACTGTTGCATATTTAATTTAAATGAAAAATAATCTGAACATCAAAAAAAGAAATGAATAGATAAGTAACCAGGAAAGTGCATTAGTATATTAACAAATTTTAATTATGAGCTGACTGGAAACGCTAACGATTTTGGAATTTATTTTTTTCAGATGTCTGGACATGTAGTTTAACCAATTTCTTTATTTCAGTTATCCCTATTATCCAGTTACCTGGATTTTCTTTGACTGTGACATTATCAAATTATATGTGATTAATTTTGTGGTTCTAAATCGTATTTGGAGACTCCTGTTATTGTTCTGTAGGAGGCTGTAGCAAGAAAGAACGGCCGATGATTGGCGGAAATAGCCGACTAGCATTCGACAGCGTCCGTCTGTCACTCGAGATGAAACGAGGGTTTCTTTGATTTTGCAGCCGACAAGAAAGAAATGACAGCCGATAAGTTGACCTGTGGATTGTAAGAGTGTTAGGAGATTATCAGTTATGAATAGGTTGTTTATCTTACGACAACCTTCGTCCCTTCGGTATAATTGATTTGGGTGTGTTGGCGTTTTGTGATGATTAAAGGAAAATGCGCAGTGTGTTTTTAAATTGAAATTAATGAAGTTTCATGAGTTTAACTCTAAATGACCTGTTGCATAAAAAAGATAGAGAGTAAGACACTAGGAGGAAATATATATATATATATATATATATATATATATATAGAGAGAGAGAGAGAGAGAGAGAGAGAGACAGACAGACAGACAGACAGAGTACATAACAAAATCAAAATTTACCTCATATGGGGAATAGGCTTCTTTCAACCCACGAAATTCGTCAGTCTTATTCAACCCCGGTATAGACTGGGTTCGTGTCGGAATTAGAAATTTAACTGTGACAGCTACAAAAAAAAGGTAATTTGGGATTTTATTGTGCACTATTTATTTGCTCTGTAATAATAAATACATTGAGCTCTTTTGGATTATATACCAACTGATTTATTACTTTTAATATATATATATATATATATATATATATATATATATATACGCATAAGTATATATGCATCCAAATGTAATAGCCGCCGCTTGAACACGTAGAGAAGGAAGTCATGTTTGTTTTCAGTGTAAACATCTGAAGTTCTGTTTTGAAATGGCCGCTCGATTCTCATTGGCTGGCGGCCTGATACCCAGGATGTGAAAACTTTCTGATTGGTTGGTTGAGCTATGTATTTTTAGAAATGGAGAAATTTTGGTCTCCTTGATATTTCTTTTCTTATATCCTGGTTATGAAAGCGTTCACGTTGGTTGGTTGGTTGGTTGGTTGGTTGGTTGGTTGGTTGGTTGGTTGGTCGAACTATAGCTTTGTTTGTCAGGTGATTTTTATTATCTGTTTATTTTTAGGAATGTCGAAATTTTGATCTTATTATTTATCTATTTATTTTCTCTATCACTTCATGGCAGCTGTTTCTTTGTTGGCGACTATCAAAATGTTTAGGAGCCCACTGAATATATTCATTTTCGACACACAGGTCGACTCGTTTGGGTCACAAATTTAATTTCCACGACCTTCTTGACAACAATATACCAAGTGTATTCTCTACCTCTTGCTGAAAGTCAAATTAGCCGTCTTTTTACCGGTATTGATTATTTTCACAACTTAGCGACCTTTGCAGGTTATTTAAAGGCAGAAAATGTTTTTAGATTGTAAGAATATTTTTTAGATAATAATTATTTACTGATATCCATATACTAATAATTAATCCATAGCTGGGGAGAAGAATGGATCCATACATGTTCTAAGGGTATTTGCATGTAAGTGAATGTAACGAATCTGACTCGAACTTGAACTCGGAACGCAGATTTTCAATTCTGGGTCATTATCCTTTAGACTACCTGCATATCTAAGTTTACAGCATATAGAATTCCGATACGTCCAGCCATTTAGGTACTGACCAAGCTCAACGATGCTTAACTTCGGTGATCGTTCGTACGAGAAACGGTGTTTCAACGTGATATGATCGTAAAACTCTTCTTCATCAGAAGCATCCATTTTTTTTTCGTTGTGTAAAATAGCACAACGCCTATGGTCTACATTGAATTTCTTTATTGTCCTTTGAACGGAAAGTTTATCATTTATTTGCTGTAAATGAGAGAGAGGTGTGTGTGAACGAAACTTCCAATCTTCTTACTCTTTTGCAGTTTGTTTGCTAAGAGGCAAGAATTCTCAATGAATGTTTTTGGGCAGGGAACTGGAAACCCTCGCCTTCTTGCTAATTACTGATTAGTTATTTCACGGACGAATGACAAGGCATTCCATTTCGCTGAATCTTGCCGCCTTTTCCCATTTTGCAATAGCTGAGAAATAAAAACTAACCATCATCAGCAAGAAGACAGAAATTATGGTCATCAGGAAGAGAAAAAGAGCGAGAGAAGATATATACATGGAGGAAGTGAGAAAGCTCAGATATATGGAAGTGTTATAACAGAAGATCAGACCCTGCATTGGACTAGTGGTATAGACATTCCAAAATATAAGTTACCGGGAAATGGGAAATATCGTTAGAAACAAAGAAAAGAACGTTGGATTACTATAGATTCGCCATCCTATTATATGCCTATCGTTATAGGACCTTACCCATAAGAACATAATGGACTATTCCATACGTAATAAATACTGCGCCTCAAGAGAAAGCAGGGAGAGTTCAGTCTGAAGTCTGGATTGAAGTCCGTTAGGAGTCTGTCTGTCAGTCAGAGCGAGCGAGTCAGTCAGTCGAGTCAGAGGCAGTCCGAAACAGAGTCGCGTTCAGACAATTACTACAAGACATTGGAATTAGTGATACTGGTCGAGACTACATTGTTCTCCCTACTAAATCTCATTGTTCGTAATAACACTTTTCTACTTCTCTGTATATATTCCTGTTTGTAATATATCTGTGTTATTCCATATCCGTGTTCGAGTTCTTCTTTATTGGTTCTAACTTGGACTATCACCGTGGTACAAGGAACCGGACCATAAGAGTTATAAATGTTGGAGAATTTTCCCAAGGATAACGGAAAAAATAGCAGTATCAGAAATTTGGTTCGACAGAAGGATACCGAAAATTCCATAGACGGGAAGTCTTGAAGAAAATAGAAAAAATAAGGAAGTTTTGAAGAAAATAGCAAAAGAAACAACACTTCTACACAGAATCAGGAAAATTCAGTTGAAATTCCTTGCAGACATTATGAGGAAGGAAGGTTTTGATAACTTAATACTAACGGGACAGAGCAAGTAAGCAACAAGGAAGTTTAAGACTTCCTTGTTGCTTACTCGCTTTGTCAATAAGAATGGCAATAGGAAAAACACATCTATTGAAAATCAGAAAAGGCTGAAATTCCGTGTACTCATAATAAGGAAGTGGGGATTGGAAAACTTAACCCTCACGGAGTATACTGGCGCCAAAAGTGGTAGGACAAAGCAGCAAGATGAACTAGTATGAATGGATTGCAGAAAGGATGTTGGGGGCCTGAGCAAATGTGGAAAACTGCTAAAAGTCACACTAGATAAAATGTTTAAAACTGTGATCGCCTGTATGCTGAATAAACAAACACACAGAAGAAGAAGACGACCGGACCATTGACAATACCTAGAAATATATGACCTTCAATTGACCCTATAAAATATAACATAACTAAAAAAATACAAGATATTTCTAATTAGCTTCAGGCTTCAACGGGAGATTTAAAATTAACACAGATAAATGTACAATAAAAGGAAGTTGTGAAAAAAATTTTTTGAAAAAGGAACTAGAGGCAAATGACAGCGAGTCCCAACAAACACTCACGTTGTTTACACAAAGAAGGCTTACGGGACCCGATGTAAAGTGCCTCCAGAACCTTTAGATGAAATAAGGAGTGAGACCAGGACAACACGGTGAACCAGTCAACACTAGTATTTAGTCACTCCCCCCCCACGAGGGCATCATGTGGCACAAGGCTGGTTTAACGTGGGATCTCCGAGCCCGTAGGCTCGGTCAAAAATATGCCCTTTGAACCGTATAAACGGGTTCAGGGTCGGTTTACCTCTACGAAAGAGACTCCGCCCTTCGGCGTAGACTCGTTCGGGTTCCTCCCCGCCCGGAGGTAGAGAGTTCAACCGATCAGCCAGTCAGCCGGACGTCCGACTTCAGACTGAACGAGTCAACACTAAATTTGACTGCACAATCTCTGTTCTTTCATAGGTGTTCGCATATGGCGGAACTATAGGTGTTCGGGACGAGTCCATTCAAAGGCAGGGTGTGATTTCTAATTTTTGCAGGAACGTGTTATTTTATTCTCATGTCTAAGCGTTGAGTTGTTCTCCCTATGTAGTCGGCTTCACAACTACAAATGTATTTATAAATAATTGAATTAATTTGATGGGGAGAGAGAACGTCTTTACACGCACCTCGAAACATAGGCCGAGTTTGAAAAATAATCCGAACTTCAGCAGAGAAAAAACAACGACGAACATTTGATGAAATTTGTTTAGCTATTTTTTCACATTTGGTACCAATCCCGGGTAATCTGAGGTAAACTGAGCATTTTTTGACATTTTTTTTTTTTTCACAACTTCCTTTTATTGTACATTTTTCAGTGTTAATTTTAAATCTCCCGTTGAATCCTGAAGAGCGGGAGCGAAACCGGTTGCTTCGCCCGTTTTTAATATGTCTCGTAATATTAAGTTTTATACTTTTATTTCGATCATTAAATTTTGTACCTACAAAAATATCTTTAAACATATATATATATATATATATATATATATATATATATATATAATATTTATATATATTATATAATCTCGATACTTATTGGAAAGCGCTTAATATCAGTTAGTCTGATAATCACAAAAGCGTGAAAACAAGTGTTACAAACTCATATCCATACAACGGTGTATATATATATATATATATATATATATATATATATATATATAGACAACAAAAATGTAGTTCTACAGAAGGATACTGAGAATACCATGGAACTAACAAGTGAATAACTACGAAGTTCTTGGGACAATGGCAACAAAAAAGGTATATGCTTGACATAGGGAAAGAGATGATTGATATTTCTTGGTCACATAATGAGGAAAGAGGACTTGGAAAATTTGACACTCACAGGACAGATTGAAGGCAAGAGAGACAGCGGAAAACAAGGCATAACTTACTTAGTGAGCTTGACTTAATGGATGGTGGAACTAGGTTTAAGAGAAATAAGACAAAAATTTTTAAGAGATACAAAGATCAAGAATTTGTGGAGAGCCATGATTGCCTAGGTTCTAAAGAGACAGGGCACACAAACAATAAGTAGAGATTTATTTGACCCCCCACACACACACACACCACCACCACTACTACCACTACAGTGAGTTAGGCTGTGACACAAGGTCAGTTTTTTACGTGGGGACCCGAGTGTTTCCATTCGGGCCGCTAGTGTAAGCTGATCTTAGCTGTTCATAGCTTGCCCAAGCTGGTTAGAGCTCGTCTAAGCCAGTCATAGCCGGTGATACCAACTGGGCCAGGCAAGAATACTTGATATCCTCGACCACTGAATCAGGCTGTAACACAAGGTCAGTTTTTAATGTGGGGACATGAGTGTTTCCATTCGGGCCGCTAGTGTAAGCTGATCTTAGCTGTTCATAGCTTGCCCAAGCTGATTAGAGCTCGTCTAAGCCAGTCATAGCCGGTGATACCAGCTGGACCAGGTAATAATACATTCCCCCCACATACATACACTGAGTCAGGCTGTAACACAAGCTCGGTTTTTAACGTGGGGACCCAAATGTTTCCACTCAGGCCGCTTGTTCAAGCTGGTCAGAGCTCGTCTAAGCTAGTCACTGTTGAGTATCAAACAAAGAATAAAGTATCTTTAACTGAACCTTATTCTCGTCTACTTCACACGGATAATATTACAAAAGCTATTTGGATTTATTTTATTTATCATGTCATTCTAAGTTATTTCGTAAACGGACTATATATGAAACCATTACTGTTTTCGATCGATAATCATTTTCTAAAATACATTTTATCAGAAATGAAAACTTTTAAACGAGGTGTTAATGTATCGCTGTTCAGCCCAAAGAATTGTTTATCGAGGATATTTTGACAATATCAATTCAAATCGTATTTTGAATTTTATATGACTTCTCCAGCCATTGTGTTTAAAGAATTATATGCGAAATAAACAAACACAGAATTTAAAGTCGTTGATTTCATTCACTCGGTGGAAATATAATTGAAAGATGCCAGGGGTAAATTGAAATCGTCTGCTTCGACACTAACGTCAATTTCTCGATAATTGAAACGAGAAGGTCTTTTTAGAAAACGCGACGGAGGTTGATTGTTTTTTATTTTCACGTTATTACATTATTTTTACTACTAAGTGCCCAACATCTTTTAATCTTATCTTTCTTTTTTTTTTTTTGCGTAATTTTTGACATAATTTGTTAACTTGTTAAGTCCATTATTTTGTTCGCCTCGCTTTCGTTATTGTTCGATATTTTCCCGACAATGTGTTTCTTTGTCAAGTGTCTCTCCGGCGAAAACCATGATCCACTCATGAACCTCGAGTTAAATAACCAAGGACATCTAGCTAGGGGTGGCGGTAATTTTCTGGTTAATTAATTAGTTTAGTACAAGAAGTTTATGCGGATATAAAAAGAACAATTTAGGGAGAAGAAAACGAGAAAGAGGTCTTTAATACAACTAGTCAATTTAAGGATTGCAATGGCAATGGTAAAATTTGCTGTTTCCTTATAGAGAGTGTTAAACGCATTACGCTTTTCCTTGTCCCTTGATCATGGGGCTGGAATCAAATTGTAATATCTGTTCTCTTCCTCTCCAGTGGCAATGTTAATATTAGCCGTTTCTAAATGATAGGACATTCGATATTCTTTGACCGAGCAGCCAGTGCTAATCCGTTAAGTTTTTCTTAACACCCTGGTCATCAGGCTGAAATCAAAATGTAGTATCTGTTCTCCTTATCTCAAATGACAATGGTAAT